CGGCTTGCAATAGCTGTGTGAGGGTGATTCTCATCCATAAAGGTTTGCACTTTCAGCCACATTGCACAGATTTCCTTAATCTTTGTAGTAGGCAACTTCTTCAATTTCTCTCTCCCCTCATCTGAACCAGATTCCTCAGGTATGGCCTCTTGCTGTTGAAGTTGATCTATCAGCTCATCAGTGGTTAGTTCTTCATTGTCCTCCTCCACCAACTCTTCCACATCCTCCCCACTAACCTCCAACCCCAAGGACTTTCCCAATGCCACAATGGATTCCTCAACTGGCATAATCCTCTCAGGGTTAGCCTCAAACCCTTCAAAATCCCTTTTGTCTACACATTCTGGCCACAGTTTCTTCCAAGCAGAGTTCAAGGTCTTCTTAGTCACTCCCTCCCAAGCCTTACCTATAAGGTTTACACAATTGAGGATATTAAAGTGCTCTCTCCAAAACTCTCTTAGAGTCAGTTGAGTTTCTGAGGTCACTACAAAGCACCTTTCAAACAGAGCTTTTGTGTGCAGTTTTTTGAAGTTTGCAATAACCTGCTGGTCCATGGGCTGCAGGAGAGGAGTGGTATTAGGAGGCAAAAACTTCACCTTAATGAATTTCATGTCCCCATAAAGTCGCTCTGCCACGTCTGTAGGATGACCAGGGGCATTGTCTAACACCAGGAGGCACTTAAGTTCTAATTTCTTTTCAGTTAGGTAATCTTTCACATTGGGGGCAAATGCATGGTGTAACCAGTCATAGAAAAAAATCCCTAGTGACCCATGCCTTACTGTTTGCCCTCCACAGCACACACAAATTCTCCTTGAGGACATTCTTTGCCTGAACGGTCTGGGAGTTTCAGAGTAGTGATACACTAATAAAGGCTTAACTTTGCAATCACCACTAGCATTGGAATACATCAACAAAGTAAGCCTGTCTTTCATAGGCTTATGTCCTGGGAGTGCCTTTTCCTCCTGAGTAATGTAGGTCCTGCTTGGCATTTTCTTCCAAAAAGGCCTGTTTCATCACAATTAAACACTTGTTCAGGTTTCAGTCCTTCACTGTCTATGTACTCCTTGAATTCCTGCACATATTTTTCAGCTGCTTTGTGGTCCGAAACTGGCAGCCTCCCATGCCTTATCACACTATGTATGCCACTACGCTTCTTAAATCTCTCAAACCAACCTTTGCTGGCCTTAAATTCACTCACATCATCACTAGTTGCAGGCATTTTTTTAATTAAATCCTCATGCAACTTCCTAGCCTTTTCGCTTATGATCGCTTGAGAGACGCTATCTCCTGCTAGCTGTTTTTCATTTATCCACACCAATAAGAGTCTCTCAACATCTTCCATCACTTGCGTTTCTCTGTTTCGAAAACACAGTTAAACCTTTTGGGCAAGAACAGCTTCCTTGATTGCCATTCTGTTGCCCACAATAGTAGCGATGGTTGATTGGGGTTTCTTGTACAACCTGGCCAGATCGGCGACACGCACTCCACTTTCATACTTATCAATGATCTCTTTCTTCATCTCTATAGTAATTCTCACCCTTATTGCTGTAGGGTTGGCACTAGAAGCTTTCTTGGGGCCCATGGTCACTTATTTTGCAGATAAAATCACAAAAAACACTGTAATAATACGAAATGTTCCGATTGTATGCTTGGATGTTACCGCGGAGGCTGGCTGGTAAACAATGCCACCAGGCGGCACATGTGAGGCTGGCTAAGGGCACACATTGGACGCGTCTCGGACGAACAGCGGTGAGCGGGTTTTTGAGCGGTATGCGAGGCAAAATTTTTGCAATAAAAGCGAGCGGTATGCGGATTAAATGTTATGTGATGCCAACGGTATGCGGGGGTCCACTGTACACACTCATCTGAGTTTTCTTTGATTTTATCTTAATAGTTTTGTTCTTATTGCTTTTCCCTTCATATCCATGCGGAAGTAGAATAAGACTCCTCTGTAAACCATCGTGTTGTAAAAGTCAACTAGAATGCCGGGAACAGTGGACTTGTAACCCCTTTTCCCATATAGCCTACTAAAACTGAAAAGAAGAAAACTGTCAAAGTGGGATGTTTGAATGTGCGTGGATGTTGTGCGAACGATAAGAAAGAGATGATTGTGGATGTAATGAATGAGAAGAAGCTGGATGTCCTGGCTTTAAGGGAAACAAAACTGAAGGGGGTGGGAGAGTTTCAGTGAGGAGAAATAATTGGGATTAGGTCAGGGGTTTCAAATAGAGGTAAAGGAGGAGTAGTAATAATGTTGAAGGATAAGTTATGGCATGAAAAGAGGAATATAAATGTATTAATTCAAGGACTCTGAGGAGTAAAATAAGGGTTGGACGTGAAAAGTGGGTTATAGTAAGTGTTTATGCACCTGGAGAAGAGAGAAGTGTAGAGGAGAGAGAGAGATTTTGGGAAATGTTGAGCGAGTGCGTGGGAAGCTTTGAATCAAGTGCGAGAGTACTTGTGGTTGGGGATTTCAATGGTAAAGTGGGTAAAAATGTTGTGGAGGGGAGTAGGTAAATTTGGGGTGCCAGGAGTAAATGAAAATGCGGAGCCTTTAATTGAGCTATGTGTAGAGAGAGGTTTGGTAATAATACATTTTTTTTTTTTAACAAGTTGGCCGTCTCCCACCGAAGCAAGGTGACCCAAAAAAAGAAAGAAAATCCTCAAGAAGAAAATACTTTCATCATCATTCAACACTTTCATCTCACTCACACATGATCACTGTTTTTGCAGAGGTGCTCAGAATACAACAGTTTAGAAGCATAGACATATAAAGATACACAGCATATCCCTCCAAACTGCCAATATCCCAGACCCCTCCTTTAACCCTTTCAGGGTCGGCAGGCCTTCTCCCAGACTTGTTCTCAGGGTCGCCAAATTTTCAAGAAAAAAAAAAAAAATTCTTATGAAAAGATAGAGAATCATATAAACTACCTACATAATACTGTAATGTACAATCATTATTTCATTCTTTTTACCATAATTCACTTTTATTGTTATATTTTAATTATTTATGTACTGTATATAATGTATACATGGTAGTGAACTGTATTGTAAATTTTACATCGCATACAGTATCGTATGTTACTTTTATCTTTAAGTATTATCAACACAGTGAATGGGAGAATACCACTGGTAGTGTCATCCTGCCAGAATGTAGTATAACCTATACCCTAAGTAAAGAGAAACAACTCTGGAACATGTGTAATAAGTATCCGGCTGGCTGGCCGGGTGGGTGGGTGGGTGGGTGGTTGGCTGACTGAATGTATCTCTCTCTCTGTATCTCTCTCTCTCTCTGTATCTCTCTCTCTCTCTGTATCTCTCTCTCTCTGTATCTCTCTCTCTCTGTATCTCTCTCTCTCTGTATCTATCTCTCTCTCTCTCACATACACACAGGTACACAAGTAAAGTTATCATACATAGTATAAATTACCTAGGATAACCCAAAAAATCCAGACAAAGTGCTATACAGTGGATTTGTGCTCCAGTGCCCTAAATTAATAATAATATTAATAATAATAATTATTATCACAATAATACGTATGTACTAATATTAATAATAATATTGAACTATAATAATCGTGTCCACTCATTACTTACCTTAAAATATCTGTAGTCTTAATGTAGAGTGAGAGGTGAGTAAACAAGATTAAATAAATAAACGAGAGAGAGAGAGAATGAGTGTGTAGAAGGTTCACGAGTTATGTAAACAAACGTTGTTACCAGCCTGGACACGAATGGTTTTTGTTCACTCTGTAAGCTGACCAGAAAAACATCTCATCTTTGTTAATTTATATGTTTATATGTTATGTAGCATGTTTATTATATAATTTAAAAAAAAAATTATAGATGGATTAAGCAAAATGTCTATATTAATGTTTTATACACATTTAATGCGCCTCACTGATTATCATTATTGTGTTATTATTAATATGGCATCTTCAAGACCAATTACACTCTTAATGAGTGGCTCTGAGACAGACACACAGGTAGACAGAAAGACAGACACACACAGGTAGACAGACAGAAAGACAGACACACACACACACACACACAAAGACAGACACACAGGTAGACAGAAAGACAGATAAACAGACAGAGATATACAGGCAGACAGATACAGACAGGTTTATGTGAAACAGTGAAAACAAATAGAGAGTTTGAGAGTAAGAGCCTTTCTTGCCACAATCTCCAGTGCAAGATTCAGACTTCATCTTGGGGGCCATGGTGAAATTTACTGTCCAGTTAGTACAGTTAATACAGTATGATGCTGATAGGGCAGGGTTACTCAAACTGATGCTGCCTGCATGACGCATTGCCGCCGCGAATATCGTCAAATATTGTGCAGCGGTGTGCATTAGCCGGCCCAGCCCAGCTGCCAGATGCACGGTTGTAAGTCGAGTGGACGTATGTCGTGCAGGTCGTAAGTCGGATGGTAGGTGTATATATTTCTAGACAATAGTATGACTGAGGCAGGTGAACATGTTCATCTGTCAGTGTGTTTGTGATTGTTTGATTACTATTTCTGTACCTAATATTTTTCATAACACAGATTGGCTATGATATCACAAGATCTAATATAAGTTGTAATTACCAGAACATAAAAATTAAGTAAATTAAAAAAAAAAAAAAGAGAAAAAAGTTAAATTGACATTTCTGTAAATGGCAGGATTCCATGTTGCTATCTGGTAAGCATTGAGTGCCAACTTCACTGCTTTATATCTCGATAATTACTGACGCTAATTTTTGTTTTGTTTTATTGCACACAGAAAATTGCCTTCTTTTTTTTTTTTTTTTTCAAAATATTCGGAGCACTAGCAGTAAAAACATAGATCTAAGTTTGGACAGTTAAAGGGTTAGCAGTGAAATTATTTTGATGACTGATTGTTTACCTGGAGAGAGTTCCGGGGGTCAACGCCCCCGCGGCCCGGTCTGTGACCAGGCCTCCTTTAAAATTAAAAAAAAAAAAAAAATTGACATCTAAATATGTATTTTATTTTCAGGAAGGAGGAGAATGTGTCACTGACTGTAACTCCTGTATCAGCATGGTATAAACTATATCAGTGGGATGAAGAAGAAACATCAGTATTGGTCACAGCAGAGAGTTCAAAACCATCTAGTAAATATGTGTGTGGCATCCTAGGCTTGCAGAATGCCAAGGTAATGGAAGAGTCATTGATCGTACAGATAAAAAGATACATTTATTTGTATTGCATTTTTTTAACCCTTTGAGGGTTTTCGTCGTACTAGTACGTCTTACGCGTAGGGGTTTTTGACGTACTAGTACTCATAAATTCTAGCGGCCTCAAATCTAGTGGGAGAAAGCTGGTAGGCCTTCATATGAAAGAATGGGTCTATGTGGTCAGTGTGCACAGTCTAAAAAAAATCCTGCAGCACACAGTGCATAATGAGAAAAAAAAAACTTTGACCATTTTTTTTGGAATAAATCAGCGACTTTGCAGTGTATTTTTGTATGGTATTTATTGTTGTATTCTAGTTTTCTTGGTCTCATTTTATAGAATGGAAGACATATTACAGAAATTGAGATGATTTTGACTGGTTTTACAAAGAAAGGTGCTTTGAAATTGAGCTCAAAGTAGCAGAAATGTTCGATTTTTACCAAACTTCAAAAGTAAACAAATCGTGCCAAGCGTGCAATACACGTCAACTGGTGAGTCTAATATTCTTTCACAAGTGCACCAATAATATTTATACCATTTTTTACACTAATGCAGTAGTCTGCATAACAGTAAATCTTATATTTTTTGTGAGAATAAAAATTCAAAGTGGAAAGCAAAAGAATATAAGAGGGGCCTTGAGACATGACTAATGACTAGAGGAAATGTCATTTTAGTGCCAGGAATGTCTTTCTTGTTTATTCTGGACCCTATTCGGAAATTGGCATCTTTTGAAATTTGTGTGAAATTGGCAAAATTGCTAAATACTGACCACTGTACTGGATAGTTGAATTTCATAAATGAGTGGTTTTCTTGCACCCATTCGATAGAAAAAAATGGAGTTTCTAGCGAAATATTCATGTTTTTGTCGACTAGTACAGTGAAATTGGCCGAAAATGGGGCTCAAAGTGGGCAAAATCGCTGATGCGTAAACATCGCCGAGACCGCTAACTTTGCGAGAGCATAATTCCATAAGTTTTCTATCAAATTTCAAACTTTTGGTGTCTTTATGATCGGGAAAAGATTCTCTATCTTTTCATAAGAGAAAATAATTTTTTTTTTTTTAAATTTGGCCGACCCTGAGAACGAGTTTCGGAGAGGGCCTGTCGACCCTCAAAGGGTTAACACAATGGTCGTTTTCCACTGAGGCAGGGCAGCCCAAAAAAGAAGAAACACTTTTATTCTCACTCGCTCCATCACTGTCTTGCCAGAGGTGTGCTGACACTGCAGTTAACAAAAACTGCAACATATCTACACCCCTCCTTCAGACCACAAGCACTGCACTTCCCACCTCCTGGATGCATGTCTGGCTAACTGGTTCCCTGAATCCCTATACATTTTTTTTTTTTTCAACAAGTCGGCCATCTCTCACCGAGGCAGAGTGACCCAAAAAAGAAAGAAAATCCCCAAAAAGAAAATGCTTTCATCATCATTCAACACTTTCACCACACTCACACATAATCACTGTTTTTGCAGAGGTGCTCAGAATACAACAGCTTAGAAGCATATACGTATAAAGATACACAACATATCCCTCCAAACTGCCAATATCCCAAACCCCTCCTTTAAAGTGCAGGCATTGTACTTCCCATTTTCAGGACTCAAGTCCGACTATATGAAAATAACTATATATATCTATATCATTTATGATATTTGGACTTATCCAGACATGTCAGCTGCTTGTAGCAGATCTCTCCCTAATAAAATACTGTTTTTTTTTAAGTGTTGGTTTGGTTATTATACAAGGAATGAGGGAGGGAATGCTCCATTTGCTGTATATCTGACAATTATGTTATAAAGTAAAGACTGTTAAAGACAAAACATAAATTAATTAAATAACAGTAAAGTACAGCATGGGAGTCTTATTTTTCTCTACCCTACATGTATTATTACAGGTTTGTTTCTTAACCCTTTGAGGGTCCGTGCCGTAGGTCTACGGCTTTACGTTGAGGGTCCAAACCGTAGATCTATGCCATGAGCTCAGCTCACTCTCATAAGCTGTGAGCAGTAAATTTGGGCCTAGATATGAGAGAATACATCTGTGTGGTATGTGTGCACCACATAAAACAAATCCTGCAGCATACAGTGCATAATGAGAGAAAAAACTGAGACCGTAATTTTCAATTAAAACAGAGACTTTGCAGTGTTTTTACGTATATTTTTTATAATTGTTTTTGTGATTTCTTGGTCTCATTTGATAGAATGGAAGATATGTTACAGAAATAGAGATGATTTTGATTGGTTTTGGTAATGGAAATGGCTTGTAACTGAGCTCAAAATAGCAGAAATGTTAAATTTTTGCCGATGTTCAAGAGTAAACAAATGATCCCACACGTCTAATACACGTCTGCTGGTGGGTCTAATTTACGTTCACTAATGTGCTGATATTATTTATACGATTATTACAGTATTGCATAACAGTAAATCTTCTATTTTTTGGTTTGAATAAAAATTCATTATGTGAATAAAAAATTAAAATGGAATTCATTCGTAAAGCCTGAATACGTAACTAATGAACAGAGGAAATGTTAGTTTAGTTCCAGGAATGCCTGCATTGTTTATTCTGGACCCTATTTTGAAATTACAATATTTTGAACTTTGCATTAAATTGGCCAAATTACCAATTTCCGATCACTCTATTTTGTAGTTGAAACAGTTGACTTGGCGATTTCTTGTGCTCAATCAATAGAATAGAAGTAATACTAGTGAAATAGCTAAGAATTTGGTCGACTGGAGTAATATTGGCCTAAAAGGGAGTGAAAGTCGGCAAAATCGCCAATGCGTAAATATCGCTGACACATCAAAATTCGCGAGAGCATAATTTTGTAAATTTTCCATCAGATTTCATACTTTTTGTTTTATTACCTTCAGAAAAAGATTCTCTACCATTTTATAAGAAAAAATAACAAAATTATTTTTTGAAAATTCTTGGACACTGGTGCACACTTTGAAATTTGGCCTTCGGACCCTGAAAGGGTTAAAAAAAAAGATCAACAAACTAGTCATCTGCCAAGGCAGGGTGATCCGTTAAAGAAGAAACACTTTCACTTTCATTCACTCAATCACTGTCTTGTCAGAGGGATGCCAATACTATCTTGAGTCTACCTGGAGGGTATTCTGGCGACCAATGCCCTCCTGGCCCAGTCCATGACCTAGCCTCCTGGTGGATCAGGATCTGATCAACCAGTCCGTTACTGCTGGCTGCACGTAGTCCAACACATGAACCACAACCCAGCTGATCCAGCACCGACTTTAAGTATCTGTCCAGCTCCCTCTTCAAGAGAGAGCCAGTAAATTGCATTTCAAAACTGCAAATATCCCAACCCCTCCTTCAGAGTGCAGACACTGTACTTCCCACTTGCAGGACTCGAGTCCACCTTATCGGTTTTCCCTTAATTCCTTCATAAATGTTACCTTGCTCAAACTCCAACTTGCCTCCATTCACTCCTAACACACTTCCTCACACTTCCTGGATGTCTAAGCACCACACACAAAACCCTTACCCTGTTCCTCTAACCTTTTGTAGGATGACCTCTACCCCTCTTTCCCTTCACTACTGATTTATATATCCTCCAAGTCATCCTATTTTGTTTCATCCTCTCTGAGTGTCCAAACCACCTCAACAACCCCTCTTCACCCCTCTTGACAATACTTTTAATAACCCTGCACCTCCTAATCTTCAAGCTATGAATTCCTTGTAATATTCACATGGCACATTGCCCTCAGACGTGAGATCTCCACTGCCTCCAGCCTTCTCCATGCTTCAACATTCACTACCCATGCTCCACACCCATATAAGAGCATTGGTATGACCATGCTCTCATATATTTTCCTCTTTGCTTCCATGGATAATGATCTTTGTCTCCACAGTCTCCTCAGTTTTCCACTCGCCTTTTCCCCCCTCATCAGTTCTGTGATTCACCTAGTCTTTCATAGACCCATCTACTGATAAGCCCTCTCCCAAATATCTGAACACATTCAATTCCTCTATACTCCCTCTCTCCATACTCCCTCCCTCCAATCTGATATCCAGTCTTTCGTTACCTATATTTTTTGTTATTCTCGTCACCTTTCTCTGTCTTATGTTCATTTTTAATTTCCTTCTTTTACTTTTTTTAACACACTGGCCATCACCCACCAAGGCAGGGTGACCCGAAAAAGAACACATCTTTCCCAATTCATCCACCAGCTGTTGCAACTTCTCTTCAGAGTCTCCCAAAAGCAGAGTATCATCAGCGAAAAGCGTCTTTGACAACTCCCACTTGGTGTTAGATTCTTTATCGTGCAATCCTCTACCTTTGCCCCATTATAACTGATGCACTCCTGCAGTGGTGTGGAAGATTGTTCATTACTGCTTGCAGTTTTATTTTGGATAGCAGTGATGGCTTCATTGATCCTATTTTTAGGTCATCTCTTTTTTGTAGCATGTATTTTGTACACCTGACTTAAAGAGTTCCACAGAAAGAATTCTGGTGGGGACACATCAGGGTATTGATAAGTAAGACACATGTGCAACAGTTAGTTAACTATTCTGAAATGTTTTGCCTACACAGTAGGCTTCTTCAGTCGAGTACAGAGGAGACAGCAGACTATGGAGCAAAAAACTTCTCCAGGCTGAGGGACTGACCACCTCTAAACTACGTCTTTTGCTGCCTCCTCTGTACCTGACTGCTGCCTCCTGCCTCCTCTGTACCTGACTGCTACCTCCTGCCTCCTCTGTACCTGACTGCTGCCTCCTGCCTCCTCTGTACCTGACTGCTGCCTCCTGCCTCCTCTGTACCTGACTGCTGCCTCCTGCCTCCTCTGTACCTGACTGCTGCCTCCTGCCTCCTCTGTACCTGACTGCTGCCTCCTCTGTACCTGACTGCTGCCTCCTCTGTACCCAACTGCTGCCTCCTGTGTACTTGACTGCTGCATCCTGTGTACCTGACTGAAGAAGCCTACTGTGTAGGCAAAACTTTTCAGAATAAAGTTATGTAGCTGTTACACATGTGTCTTATCAAGTTGTTGGTTCTGTATATCATTATAATATTGACATCTGGGGATTGTGACAGCCACAGATACTGTTGTCTTAGATACTGCATAACAATTGTGATATGTTGCCCAATTTTGCTGAATCCATATCCAATGAGCAGTGATGAACATAGTCTTCACTGCAGGAAGTGCAGAACTGTAATAATGTGTTTGGCAACAGAAAATAAGGCTCTCATGTTTGTACTTCAATGTGATTTAATGAAGTTATAGTCTGCTGTAACAATTTTTTTTCACAGTTGACACATCTCACTGAGATAAGGTGAACCCCCTCCCCCCTAGAAAAAAAAAAATAGCATCATTCATTCAACTGTTGTCTTGGCAGAAGTTTGCTGAATTTACAGCTCAGGTGACCCTTTGAATTTAACCCTTTCAGGGTTGGTGCCATACTAGTACGGCTTGCACGCCAGGGTTGGTGCCGTACTAGTACTCATAAATTCTAGCACCTTCAAATCTAGCGAGAGAAAGCTGGTAGACCTACATATGAAAGAATGGGTCTATGTGGTCACTGTGCATGGTACAAAAAAGTCCTGCAGCACACAGTGCATAATGGAAAAAAAAAACTCCAAGTGTATTTTTGGTTTAAAACAGCGATTTTGCAGTGTATTTTCGTATGCTATTTATGGTTGTATTCTAGTTTTCCTGGTCTCATTTTATAGAATGGAAGACATATTATGGAAATTGAGATGATTTTGATTGGTTTCACAATGAAAAGTACCTTGAAATTGAGCTCAAAGTAGCAGAAATGTTTGATTTTTGCCAAAGTTCAAAGGTAAACAAATCATGCCACGTGTCCAATACACATCAACTGGTGAGTGTAATATTCTTTCACAAGTGCCCTGATATTATTTATACCATTTCTATGCCATTTCTACACGAATGCAGTAGTCTGCATAACATAAATCTTCTATTTTTTTGTGAGAATAAAAATTCAAAGTTGAAAGCAAAAGAAATGTAACAGAGGTATGGGGGCATGAGTAATGAACAGAGGAAATGTTATTTTAGTGCCAGAAATGTTTGTCTTGTTTATTCTGGACCCTATTTGGAAATTGGCATCTTCTGAAATTTGTGTGAAATTGGCCAAATTGCCAATTTCTGACCACGTTGTTGGATAGTGGAAATCAGTAAATGGGTGGTTTCTTGTACTCATTCGATAGAAAAAAAATGGAGTTCTAGCAAAATAGTTATGATTTTTGTTGACTGGTACATTGTAATTGGCTGAAAATAGGGCTCAAAATGGGCAAAATTGCCGATGCGTAAACATCGTCGAGATTACTAACTTAGCGAGAGCATAACTCCGTAAGTTTTCCATCAAATTTCATACTTTTGGTGTCATTATGATTGGGAAAAGATTCTCTATCATTTCAAAAGAAAAAATAATTTTTTTTTTTCGAAAAATTTCCGACCCTGAGAACAAGTTTAGGAGAGGCCCTGCCAACCCTGAAAGGGTTAAGATCCCCCACCCCCTCATTTAAGAGTGCAGGCACTATACTTTCTACCTCCAGGACTTGAGTTTGGCTATCTGGTTTCCCTGAATTTCTTTATAGATGTTACTTTGGTCACACTCCTAGAGCATGTAAAGCCATAAAAACCACTCCTCTCCATTCAGGTTTATGCCAGATTTTGACCCTGCCATCTGTATGTCATTGCAGAAATTGCAATTTGTCAGACCTGGTGACGTTTTTTTCAGTCTTCAGCTGTCCAGTTTTGGTGAACCTATGTCTACTGTAACCTCAGTTTCTTGTTCTTAGCTGACAGGAGTGGAATAAAGTGTGGTTGTCTGCTGCTGTTAAACCATCCACTTCATAATATTGACGCATTCATAAAGATTAAAATGTTGTGTTGGGTTCTAGAGGTGGAAACGCTCTGAAAGAGCATTAGAGATGTTGCAGCTCAGATGGTCACCTGTACTGTGATGTTTATGCACTTTTAAAAAGACAAAAAATGTTGTCCAAGGAGGCAAAGAAGGGAATGTAAGAGAGTATAGTGGTACCAACACTCTTATATGGATGTGAAGTTTGGGTTGTAAATGCTGCAGCAAGGAGGCTGGAGGCACTGGAGATGAAGTATCTAAGGGAAATGTGTGGTGTAAATATTATGCAGAGAATTCATAGTGTGGAAATTAGGAGGTGTGGAGTTACTAAAAGTATTGTTCAGAGGGCTGAAGAGGGGTTGTTGAGGTGGTTTGGTCATTTAGAGAGGATAGAGCAAAATAGGATGGAGGGAGGAGATAAAATAGGTTTTGTGTGCAAGGGGCTTGGACATGCAGAAGGCATGTGTGAGCATGTTTGATAGGAGTGAATGGAGACAAATTATTTTTGGGACCTGATGAGCTTTTGGAGTTTGAGCAGGGTGATATTTTGTGAAGGGATTCAGGGAAACCGGTTAGCCGGACTTGAGTCCTGGAGGTGGGAAATATTTTACATTTTTTTTTTTGGGGTCATTACTTTGGTGAGAGACAGCCAGTGTAATGAAAAAACAAAACAAAACAAAAAATAGTTCTGTAGTGGGAGTCCTAGAATATGTTATACAGTGGAGCCTTACATATCGAACTTTCTTTGTTCCAGACGGCTGTTCGAGTGCTGTTACCGAACGAATTTATTCCCATCAGGAATAATGTAAATTAGATTAGTTAATTTCAGACCCTCAAAAATACACATATAAAAGCACTTACAAAAATACACTTTCGTAATTGGTTGAGTTAGGAGCAGTTCGATATTTGAGGTTCCACTGTACCTCGTTCACACAGATACATGCCTCATTGTGCCCCAATTAAGTTCAACAAATGCAGAATTAGGACCTTTGCTGCTGCTGTCATGTCAAGCTTGTTAGTTTGATAACTCTATTATGCATCACAACCATCCTCTGGGAAAATAGGTGTTTTTGCAGGTTGTTCCAAACCAGTGTAGCTGGGATCCATCATCGTATTCCTCCTGGTGCTCGACTGAGATTGGCCTGTAATTGAGCAGCCTAGAGGTCTTACAAGTGATCACTCCTCTTAACCCTTTCACGGTCCAGAGGCCAAATTTCAAAGTGCACACCAGTGTCCAAGAATTTTCAAAAAATAATTTTGTTACTTTTTCTTATGAAATGGTAGAGAATCTTTTTCTGAAGGTAATAAAACAAAAAGTACGTTATTTGATGGAAAATTGACGAAATTATGCTCTCATGAATTTTGATGTGTCAGCGATATTTATGCATCGGCGATTTTGCCGAATTTGGCTCCCATTTTAGGCCAATTACATTATTTCAGTCTACCAAATTCTTAGCTATTTCACTAGTATTACTTCTATTCTATCGAGTGAGCACAAGGAATCACTAAGTCAACTGTTTCAACTACAAAATAAAGTGATCGGAAATTGGTAATTTGGGCAGTTTAATGCAAAGTTCAAAATATTGTAATTTCAAAATAGGGTCCAGAATAAACAATTCAAGCATTCCTGGAACTAAACTAACATTTCCTCTGTTCATTAGTTACATTTTCAGGCTTTACAACTGAATTCCATTTTGATTTTTTATTCGCTTAATGAATTTTTATTCAAACCAAAAAATAGAAGATTTACTGTTATGCAATATTGTAATCATTGTATAAATAATATCATCACATTTGTGAACATATATTAGACCCACTAGCAGGTGTGTGTTAGACGTGTGAGGTCATTTGTTTACTCTTGAACATCAGCAAAAATTTAACATTTCCACTACTTTGAGCTCAGTTTCAAGCCATTTCCAGTATTAAAACTAATCAAACTCATCTCTATTTCTGTAATATATCTTCCATTCTATCAAATGAGACCAAGAAACTGCAAAAACAACTTTAAAAACATACGAAAAACACTGCAAAGTCGCTGTTTTAATCGAAAATTATGGCCTCAGTTTTTTCTCATTATGCACTGTGTGCTGCAGGATTTGTTTTATGTGGTGCACACATACTACATAGATGTGTTCTCTCATATCTAGGCCAAAATTTACCGCTCACAGCTTATCAGAGTGAGCTGAGCTCATGGCATCTACGGTTTGGACCCTCAACGTAAAGCTGTAGATCTATGGCACAGACCCTGAAAGGGTTAAATGTGAAGCAGAAACTGTGCCTGTCTATATAAAAAATTGATTTTTGCCATCTGTATATATATAGTATGATTAAAACCTTTTTAGTCTGCAGAGCTTTCTGTACCTAAGACAGCAGAGATACAGGTTGTTTTTATTATAACTTGATAATGTATTTCACTGATTTATACTTAATTTTCCTTTAGTGCCCTGTGGATACCGATGTGTCTGGACTTCGATCTGGTCGTGGAAGATACCAGACTTTCACAACTCGGGCTGGAATGATCGCACGGAAGGAAGATTTCCCTGATGGTATACATGTTGTTATCTTCTCCCTACCAGATGATGGACCATGTTCTTTAAATATTGGAAGTAAGTTGATTAGGATACTACTAAGAGTACAGAGCTGAATTATTATTTAAATATACATTCTGTTGAAATATCTTGAATTACATAGATATAATAATTTGTTGAAAGAAGAAAATAATATTTTTATAATTTAGTCATAAATTGTTTATTATCCAGTAATAAATTGCTAAACATATTGTACACAACACTGAAAATGTACACCTGTACCAAATTGAAATCTCTGTTGAAGACTAAAAAAAACATAACACTATTGACCCCAGTAATCTGAACCTAGCACAATAATCTGAACCTAGCACAGTACTCTGAACCTAGCACAGTACTCTGAACCTAGCACAGTACTCTGAACCTAGCACTCCTTGGAACTCAAGTATCTATCCTTAGCCTCAGTATGAAGACAACTCAATACAGCTCTAAAACAGTACACACCATACAACTCTGACCCTAAACATTGAGTATCTGACTGACATATTGCATCACTCTTAACCTATAATGATTAAGTATCTCTCTTCTCATTTAAAAACATCAATACAGTAAAAAACTTCAAAAACATGTATCTAGTGGACATTGAACTTATGAGTTAATATCATTTTTGTTGACGAGTAGTAAACCATTGCTTATAAAAAATTCCGTGGTATGAATTATATTTAATCCATTTGTTGACCAGCTCGAAAACCATGCCATATAATGCAAATCAATTTCACTCTATTATTAATTAATGATTTTAAACTAGCCATAAACACCAATATAATATCAACCTTCAACTTGATTTAATCTATCATAATGATTAAATGATACATTATATAATACGACAGTGTTGTGAAAGCCATTCATAGAGGTTAATAAAAAATAGTTATCGCTGACCATATCTTCCCATTCTTGCCCTTCTGAGGTGTTATAATAAGAGAAAATGGAGTGTTTGTGAGACTTTCTGCACTAGATCACTAGTTTCATGAGGAAAACACTGAAACAAAAGCGATTTTCTCAAATAATTTTTCCCGAGTCAGGAGACTGGCTTGCATTTTGGGTGAATATCTTGGAAGTGAGGCATGAAGTACTAAGCTCATACTGCCTTGAGTCATCACGTCTGATTTCTGAACAAGTGAAAATGTGTATTACTTGCCAGTCATGCTTATTATGCCTATATTATCTACTATGTTGTGTATCTATTTATTGTATGCTTTAGATGTTGTTTCTAGCAACTCTGCAAATCGTGACAATGTGCGAGTGTGGTGAAAAGTTGAAGATGAATCCAAAAGTATATTCTTCTTGGGATTTTCTTTCTTTTTTGCCGTCACCCTCACCGTGGAACTGCGACTGTTTAAAAATAAAGAAAAACAAAAAAATTACAAACATAGTTTAGACTTCATTGATTTTTTTTTTAAAAGTCGCACATTACCCCCAAGCAGTGACCAAAGAAGAAAATCCCAAAAAGAATACATTTCATCATCATTCAAGACTTCCCATCACCACACTAATCACTGTTTTGCAAGTGCAAATAAACGTTAGAAGTGTTTCTAAATTCTTCACAAATATTCCAACGCATATCCAAACCCTCCTAAGTGCAGCATTGACTTCCATTTCAGATCAGTCCCGTAAAAATACCGGTTTCTGATCTCCATTCACTAAATATTACCTATCACTCAACAGCTCGTCAGTCCAATACATGCTCTATTCACCTATCTAACACGCTCCAACACCTCTGAAGTCCAACCCTACCACAAAACCTCTTTTACCCCTTCCCTCCAACCTTTTTGAGGACGACCCCTACCCAGCCTTTCTTCCCCTACAGATTTATAACTCTCCATATTCTACTTTGATCCATTCCCTTTAAATGACCAAACCACCTCAACAAACCCTCTTCAGCCCTCTGACTAATACTTTTATTAACTCCACACCTTCTCCTAATTTCCACACTCCGAATTTTCTGCATAATATTTACACCAGACATTGCCCTTAGACAGGACATCTCCACTGCCTCCAACGCCTCCTCGCTGCAGCATTTACAACCCAAGCTTCACACCAATATAAGAGTGTTGGTACTACTATACTTTCATACATTCCCTACTTTGCCTCCATAGATAACATTTTTTTCCTCCACATATACCTCAATACACCACTCGCCTTTTTTTCTTCGTCAATTCTATGATTAACCTCATGCTTCATAAATCCGTCCGCTGACACGTCAACTTCCAAATATCTGAAAACATTCACTTCTTCCATACTCCTCCTCCCCAATTTGATATCCAATTTTTCTTTATCTAAAGCATTTGATACTCTCATCACCTTACTCTTTTCTATGTTCACTTTCAACTTTCTACCTTTACACACACTCCCAAATTCGTCCACTAACCTTTTGCAATTTTTCTTCAGAATCTCCCATAATCAGAGTATCGTCAGCAAAAAGTAACTGTGTCACTTCCCATTTTGTATTTAATTCCCCATAATTTAATCCCACCCCTCTCCCGAACACCCTAGCATTTACTTCTTTTACAACCCCATCTATGAATATATGAAACAACCATGGCAATTTACAACCTAGGTAATTTACAACCTAGATAATTTACTCTATGTATAACTGTAGTATTTATGTGTACCAGAGAGAGACAGAGAGACACAGAGAGAGAGAGAGAGAGAGAGAGACAGCCAAAACAAATCAGCCAGCTGGCCTACCATTTTACACATGTATTACACATGTTCCAGAATTGTTTCTCTTTACTTAGGGCATATGTTATAGAACATTCTGGCAGGATGACACTACCAGTGGTATCAAAATTGAAAGGATGTTACGCATTGGTTATTATTGAGGTTTTTGATATTTCCTTGGTATCTCCTGCGAGTGGTGGCGTATCTGAAGCTCACTCGTAACTTGGATTTTGGCTTGCAACTCCAAGCAAAAAATCAACAGAGCGACCGCTCGTAACTCTGAAAACTTGTAAGTTGGGGCACTTGTAAGTCGAGGTACCACCGTACTGGTAATGCATGGTCTTGGAGCTGGGGTAGTCTTCACTCTGGCTGGCAGATGGCAGTACCTACTAGACCAAAATGTCATCCCCGTCTTGGAGATCTTGGCACAAAGTGGGATACTGGAAGCATTTTTTTCTTCCTATAGTGAAAGTGGAACCTACATTGTTAAAGGGTTAAAAACTAATTACTTGCCTGGCACCCAGCAATTTCGTACTTAAAAGATCTAATGCTGCACAGTGTTTGTCTTTTGGAAATTGGTCAGCCATTGAAATAATTCATAGAATAAATGACACGCAAATAAGAAAGTACAGTGGACCCCCGGCTAACAATATTATTTCAATCCAGAAGTCTGCTCGGGTGCCGTTATAGACCGAATTTGTTCCCATAAGGAATATTGTGAATTAGATTAGTCCATTTCAGACCCCCAAAAATACACCTTCAAAAGCACTTACAAAAATACACTTACGTAATTGGTCGAGTTGGGAGCTGATCGTTAGTCGGGGGTCCACTGTACTGCAAAAATTTTAGTAAATTTCACTGGGCATAACCAAATATCAAATTGACATTTAGTTCATGTCCCTGTTGCCTAGGAATAGATACATAAGAGTTAAATCTTGTGGTAGGGCATATCCTAGAGAGCGACCTAAAATGAGTCACATTGCTTAACTTTCTTGGGTTATCCTAGACTATTGATCCTCTTTGGTTGCTAATGCGAGTTTAGTCTTCTACCTTGCTTAATAATGTTGGAAGTTATGTTTCTGGAAAATTGTTCTTTAAGTAAGTTTACATTCATTTATTAACCTTATTCCATGTAACTCGCTGCTTTGATGAATATGTATAATGAATGTTGTACTTCTCAAAATCTTGCTTTATATTTTGATTTGGACTGTATTCATAAAATGGTTGATTCATTCAGCCAGCACTGTTTGCCATACTCCTTGCACTGAAATGCATCTATGTATCAAAGATTGACAGTTTAATTGTAACTGATTCTCTGTTATCCATAAATGCTCTCAACTCATTAAGCATAAATTGTGGCATGCTTGTGTCAGAAGCCAGACACAGGTATGGTAGGATTGTGGACAGTGGAGTCAGAGTGCACATGCTGTGGATTCCATCTCACATTGGTCTTCAGATGCATGATAGAACTGATAAATTGGCTAAGCTGTATGCTTTCAAAGAGGGAGTAGATTACAATCTTGGCTTGTCAGGTAGTAGTTTGAGAACAATAATACGAAAAGAACTTCAACTGAATTTTATGGACTTAAGACTCAGGGAGATTGACACCAGTGAGTCCATCTATCATCATTCTATCATGCAGGAGGAGCCACATGTCTACGGTGCATCCAACAAAATAAGCAGACTCTTGGATGTCACTACTGCCCGGCTCCGGCTGGGTTACAAGTATCTTTGGCAGGTTAAATCACCACCACCAGATGTAGACCAAATGAAATGTAAACTTTGCCAGATGGACTATTGTCACACCCTGCGTCATTATGTACTGGAGTGTGATAAAATTAATGAATTTAGAAACAAACTCACTCAGAAATGTTCAAGAAATAGCAAAGTATTTTATCCACAGTGGTATATTGCAGACCATTCTGGAGAAATACCCTGACTTTGCTAGCTGTAAATAAAGCATTACCGCATGTGTGCATGTGTGCGTGTGCGTGTGTGTGCGTGTGTGTGTGTGTGTGTGTGTGTGTGTGTGTGTGTGTGTGTGTGTGTGTGTGTGTGTGTGTGTGTGTGTGTGTGTGCGCGCGTGCATTCACCTAGTTGAGATTGCAGGGGTCGAGTCCAAGCTCCTGTGTGTTTACCTGGAGTTTACCTGGAGAGAGTTCCGGGGGTCAACGCCCCCGCGGCCCGGTCTGTGACCAGGCCTCCTGGTGGATCAGAGCCTGATCAACCGGGCTGTTGCTGCTGGCTGCACGCAAACCAACGTACGAGCCACAGCCCGGCTGATCAGGAACTGACTTTAGGTGCTTGTCCAGTGCTTGTGTGTGTGTGTGTGTGTGTGTGTGTGTGTGTGTGTGTGTGTGTGTTTGTGTGTGCGTGTTAGTTACCATTTTGTCCTAGGCACATGTCGATTAGACACTAGGCCTGTTGTATTTGCGAGTGTGTGTGTGTGTGTGTGTGTGTGTGTGTGTGTGTGTGTGTGTGTGTGTGTGTGTGTGTGTGTGTGTGGTGTCTGTGTGTGTCTGTGTATGAGTGTGTGTGTGTGTATGATGGGTTGTGTGTGTGTACTCACCTATTTGTACTCACCTATTTGTGGTTGCAGGGTCGAGTCTTAGCTCCTGGCCCCCGCCTCTTCACCGGTTGCTCTTCACCGGTATGAGTGTGTGCGTGTGTGTGTGTGTGTGTGTGTGTGTGTGTGTGTGTGTGTGTGTGTGTGTGTGTGTGTGTGTGTGTGTGTGTGTGTGTGTGTGTGTGACTCAACAATCAATATTTGCACCAGTAACTCATTACAGTTGTGACCGGGTGTGGAAGTGTGAATTGCTCATTACACTATAATTTGTTCATGATTGTAGCCATGTATAAACGTAAGTAACCATTCTTACAGTATTCATTACCTTTGTAACTTGTGAGTTCATTACCTTTGTACCTAGTTCAGCTATCCAAACTTTGGGGCCCAGTCCCTGGATCCATTACGTACCTCTGTAATCTGTAAATACCTTTGTAACTTGTCATGATTGTGACTAGACCTACCCGGAGTTCATTACCTTTGTAAATTGTGAATTCATTACCTCTGTAACTTGCTCAGCTATCATAACTTTGGAGTCCAGTCCCTGGACCAATTATGTACCTCTGTAATCTTTTGACTACCGCCCACAGGATGGGTATGGGGTGCATAATAAACATATTAAACTAACTAAACTGTCGTTCATATGTTGTACTACATTCAGCCAGCAGTAACAGCCTAGTTGATCAGGCCCTGATCCACCAGGAGGCCTGGTCTTGGACTGGGCTGTAGAGGCATTGATCTTTGGAATGCCCTCCAGGTAGACCCCAACTTAACAGTGCTTCACTTTACAGTGTTTCGCTAATACAGTGATTTTCATTTATACTCATTCTTCATTTATTCAGACTTCCTACAGTAAATATATTCACCACTCTCTGTAAGCTAAGGACGAAAATATGTTAATGGTAAGTAATGTGCGTACTGTATATGCACTTTTTAGGCCAAGTTATATTGCTCTTTTAATATATGATAGTGTAAACAGACTTTTGTATGCATTTGAAAGTGAATAAAAAAAACTCAAAAAACTGTGATTGACTTTACAGCAATTTTTACTTTACAACAGTATCCTAGTATCCTGTATAGTAATATAATGTGATGTGATTGATTAATTACAGGTGAAAGCAACAAGACAGCTCGGACGAAGACTGTAGTGTTGCAGTTATTCACTCATGCTACAATATGGTCCACCTGGTATATCTTCTTCTTGACTGCTGTTGTTTTGGCCATGTTAGTGTCTCTCCTCACAAAAGGTGCTTTGATGATTATAGAAAGGTAGGTGGAGACAGTGATATGGGTGTACAGGTGCTCCTCGACTTATGATGGCTTGACTTATAATATTTTGACTTTACAATGGTGCAAAAGCAATTACAGCTCCTCGCTTAACGACGGAGTTCTGTTCCTAAGACCTTGTCGGTACACGAATTCACCGCTAAGTGAGGAGCATACAGTGGATCCTCGTTTTTCGTAATTAATCCGTTCCAGAGAGTGTGACTAATGGCGATATTGACAATTTGCAAAACCATTTTCCCAATAAGAAATAATGTAAATCCAGTTAATCTACATGAAATATAGATTTACATACACAGAAAACAATGAAACATGAAGAATAAAACAATAATAACATCACACTTACCTTTATTGAAGACTCTTGTTGGTGTATGAATAAAATATGTCATTACGTACGTTAGGAATTGTGGCGGCGGCAGAGTAGTGTGTTTGGAGGCAGGACAAGATAATCCTTCAATATGACACTAATATCAACTCTATGGCTTATTTATCTATCACAATTCATCTAATATGATAAAATAAACAATATTAATAACATAGAAACGTGATATATGCAGTGAAACCCCCCGTTCGGTGGCCACAGCTTTCTTGAAATCCGACTTTCGGTAACTTTTTTTGCCAAAATATAGCCTCGTGGTTCGTGATGGGCCTTGTCATTTGGCAACTGTCCGGTATGCGTCTGCCAGTCAGCGCGCACACAGAGCCAATCTCCTGCACCACTCACACTCGGTGTGCCATTGTTTACCAGTGAGTGACTGTTATCTCACGGGTTCATTCAATACTTTTTGTAATAATTCATTGTTTTTTGTGCTTTCACCTGCTTAATAAGTCACCATGGGCCCGAAGAAAGCTTGTGTCAGCCGTTTGGTAAAAAAAAGTGAGGAACACAATCGAATTCAAGAAAGAAATCATTGAAAAATTGAGATTGAAGTGCATGTTACAGACTCATGAAATCGTAATGACACGATTGCAAACAAACCATACCACGGGCGGGGATGGAACCTGCGATCAGAGTCTCAAAACCCAGACCTTTGTGTTAGCCACTGGATGAGCTAGCTGGCCCAGTGGCTAACGTGATGGTCTGGAGTTTTGAGACTCTCTGATCGCGGGTTCTATCCCACCCGTGGTATAGTTTCATGTTACAGAGCTTGCCAGGATGTATGGTAAATGCCATTCAACCATCACTTCGTTCGTGGCGAAGGGGAAGGAAATAAACTGTGCTGTTGTTGCAAAAGGGGTAGATATGCTGACAAAGAAGAGATCACAAACCCTCGAAGAAGTGGAGAGGTTATTGCTTTTGTGGATTACCCAAAAACAGTTAGCAGGAGATAGTATTATGCAGTCGATAATATGTGAAATCGCAAGGCAGTTGCATGACGATCTTGTAAAGAAAATGTGTGCAATGAGTGGTGATGTTCGTGATTTTAAGGCCAGCAAAGGCTGGTTTGAGAGATTTAATAAGCATAGTGGCATACACAGTGTGGTAAGGCATGGTGAGGGTTCCATTTCAGACAAAAGGGCAGCTGAGAAGCTTGTGTAGGAGTTTAAGGGGTATGTAGATACTGAAATTTTCAAACCCCAACAAGTGTTCATTTGTAACGAAACAGACCTGTTTTGGAAGAAAATGCCGAAGAGGTCCTACATCACGCGGGGGAAAACGGCACCCGGACACAACCCTATGAAGACAGGTGACCCCTTTTTTTATTATTTTTTATTATCAAATGGCTGTTTCCCCCCCAAGGCAGGGCGGCCCCAGAAAAAAAACTTTACCCTCATTCACTCCATCCGTTTGCAGAAGGGTGCTTTACACTACAGTTTTTAAAAAGCAACATTAAAAACCCCCCCTTCAGAGTGAGGCACTGTACTTCCCATCTCCAGGATCAAGTCCCGGGCCCGCCCGGGTTTTCCCTGAATCCCTTCATAATTTTACTTTGCTCACACTCAACGACAAGTATTAAAAACCATTTGTCTCCATTCACTCCCATAAACCGCTAGCAGCCCGCTGGAAATCCAAGCCCCCCGCACACAAAACCCCTTTTCCCCCCCTCCAACGTTCCCCAGGGACCCCCCCCCCGCCTTCCTTCCACTACAGATGTACACTCTTGAGTCTTCTGTTTCGCTCATTTCTTACATGTCCCAACCACCCCCAACAACCCTTCCTCACCCCCTTGGGAAAAAGTTTTTTTAATCCCCACCCTCCCCCTAACTTCCAAACTCGAATTCTCGCTTATTTTCACACCCCACATTTCCCTCAGACATGACACTCCACTGCCTCCGCCCTTTTTCCGCTGAAAATTCATCACCCCTGCTTCACACCCTATAAGGCGTTGGGGAAAAAATATATCTATACTTCCCCCCTTTGCCCCCAAGGACAAAAATTCTTTTTCTCCCACAGCCCCCTAAAGGGACCCCTCACTCTTTTCCCCCCATCAATTCTATGATTCCTCATCCTTCATAGACCCACCGTACAGTCCACTCCCCAAAATATCTGAATACATTCACCTCCTCCATACTCTCTCCCTCCAATCTTATATCCAATCTTTCATCACCAAATATTTTTGTTATCCTCATAACCTTACTCTTTCCTGTATTCACTTTTGATTTCTTCTTTTGCACCCCCTACCAAATTCTTTCCCCACCAATCTCTGCAACTTCTCTTCAGAATCTCCAAGAGCACAGTGTCATCAGCAAAGAGCAACTGTGACAACTCCCACTTTTATGTGTGTTCTTTATCTTTTAACTCCACGCCTCTTGTCAAGCCCCTCGCATTTACTTCTCTTACAACCCCATCTATAAATATATTAAAAAAACCACGGTGACATCACACATCCTTGTCTAAGGCCTACTTTTACTGGGAAATAATTTCCCTCTTTCCTACATACTCTAACTTGAGCCTCACTATCCTCGTAAAAACTCTTCACTGCTTTCAGTAACCTACCTCCTACACCATACACCTGCAACATCTGCCACATTGCCCCCCTATCCACCCTGTCATACGCCTTTTCCAAATCCATAAATGCCACAAAGACGTCTTTAGCCTTATCTAAATACTGTTCACTTTTATGTTTCACTGTAAACACCTGGTCCACACACCCCCTACCTTTCCTAAATCCTCCTTGTTCATCTGCTATCCTATTCTCCGTCTTACTCTTAATTCTTTCAATAATTACTCTACCATACACTTTACCAGGTATACTCAACAGACTTATCCCCCTATAATTTTTGCACTCTCTTTTGTCCCCTTTGCCTTTATACAAAGGAACTATGCATGCTCTCTGCCAATCCCTAGGTACCTTACCCACTTCCATACATTTATTAAATAATTGCACCAACCACTCCAAAACTATATCCCCACCTGCTTTTAACATTTCTATCTTTATCCCATCAATCCCGGCTGCCTTACCGCCTTTCATTTTACCTACTGCCTCACGAACTTCCCCCACACTCACAACTGGCTCTTCCTCACTCCTACAAGATGTTATTCCTCCTTGCCCTATACACGAAATCACAGCTTCGCTATCTTCATCAACATTTAACAATTCCTCAAAATATTCCCTCCATCTTTCCAATACCTCTAACTCTCCATTTAATAACTCTCCTCTCCTATTTTTAACTGACAAATCCATTTGTTCTCTACTCTTCCTTAACTTGTTAATCTCACTCCAAAACATCTCACCCACTCTCTCATTTGCTCTCTTTTTACATTGCTTCACCACTCTCCTAACACCTCTCTTTTTCTCCATATACTCGTCCCTCCTTGCATCACTTCTACTTTGTAAAAATTTCTCATATGCTAACTTTTTCTCCCATACTACTCTCTTTACATCATCATTCCACCAATCGCTCCTCTTCCCTCCCGCACCCACTTTCCTGTAACCACAAAGTTCTGCTGAACACACTAACACTACATTTTTAAACCTACCCCATACCTCTTTGACCCTATTGCCTATGCTCTCATTAGCCCATCTATCCTCCAATAGCTGTTTATATCTTACCCTAACTGCCTCCTCTTTTCGTTTATAAACCTTCACCTCTCTCTTCCCTGATGCTTCTATTCTCCTTGTATCCCATCTACCATTTACTCTCAGTGTAGCTACAACTAGAAAGTGATCTGATATATCTGTGGCCCCTCTATAAACATGTACATCCTGAAGTCTACTCAACAGTCTTTTATCTACCAATACATAATCCAACAAACTACTGTCATTTCGCTCTACATCATATCTTGTATACTTATTTATCCTCTTTTTCTTAAAATATGTATTACCTATAACTAAACCCCTTTCTATACAAAGTTCAATCAAAGGGCTCCCATTATCATTTACACCTGGCACCCCTAACTTACCTACCACACCCTCTCTAAAAGTTTCTCCTACTTTAGCATTCAGGTCCCCTACCACAATTACTCTCTCACTTGGTTCAAAGGCTCCTATACATTCACTTAACATCTCCCAAAATTTCTCTCTCTGCTCTGCATTCCTCTTCTCCAGGTGCATACACGCTTATTATGACCCACTTCTCACATCCAACCTTTACTTTAATCCACATAATTCTTGCATTTGAACATTCATATTTTCTTTTCTCCTTCCATAACTGATCATTCAACATTACTGCTACCCCTTCCTTTGCTCTAACTCTCTCAGATACTCCAGATTTAATCCCATTTATTTCCCCCCACCGAAACTCCCCTACCCTCTTCAGCTTTGTTTCGCTTAGGGCCAAGACATCCAACTTCTTTTCATTCATAACATCAGCAATCATCTGTTTCTTGTCATCTGCACTACATCCAAGCACATTCAAGCATCCCAGTTTTATAAAGTTTTTCTTCTTCTCTTTTTTAGTAAATGTCTACAGGAGAAGGGGTTACTAGCCCATTGCTCCCGGCATTTTTGTCGCCTCATACGACACGCATGGCTTACGGAGGAAAGATTCTTTTCCACTTCCTCTCTCATGTAGTAATGCTAGTGGGGATTGCAAAGTGAAGC